TAGGCTGGAAAAACCTCCCTTTGCAATAGAGTCTTCTCCTGGCGCACTGTGCTTCTCTCCCCCCCCCCTTCCACTGGAAGCTCCTCTCAAAATTGTGGCACCGACCAGTGACGGAGCCACAGTAGAGGGGGGGAAAAGCCACATGCGGCTCCAGAGCTGCAGTTTGCGGACCCCCAGCCTAGGCAACAGTTTTCACATATCTCTGTCAAAATAATCTTCTTTACTCTCTACAAATGAAACAAACAAAATGTTACCGTGTTTTCCCCAAAATAATCTTATTTTCTTTTGACCCTCAAAATAAGCCCTTGGCCTTATTTTTAGGGAGGTCTTTTTATTTTTGAGGTGCAGGAGGTGGCAAGCGTGGTCACCTCATGGCTGCTGCTGTGTTGCACTATTTTCAGGGAGGGCTTATTTCCGGGGAAAGAGGGTAAAAAAGTTACGATATCTACGTAAGTTACATAACAAGCAGATCTAAATTATATTAAAGGAAGCCAAATAACCTTTGCAACCCCCAAGGCAGGTCACAACGTTTGAACACCCACTAATGTTTGGAAAATGGAAAGCTGAAAAAATTTGACCCGCCCTACTCTACAATAATTGTACAATGTTTGCAGTCCCAGAGCTGAACAGATGGTTGATTGGTTTTCTGAAGTATCATGTCCTTTTTCTTATTTTGGTTAGAGCGGTAGAACACCCAGGCGTTCCTGAAGATCCTGAATTCGTCCGGGTCAGAACCTACGAGTCACAAATGGTTATCCATCCTCACAAATCATTTGATGAGGTGAGTTCCTTTATTATTATTATTTTTTTTTAAAAAAAAATAGGGAATCTGAAATTTAGAAGAGGTTTTCTTTACATGGAGCATAAATATTTAAGAGGCTGAAGCAACAATTGTTAATGTGTGTTTGACCCCTATTATTTTTGATTTATTATACATATTTTATTATATTTTAGGCCTCAGAATTTGACATGTATTATGCATCATCTCTCTAATCCTTGCCAGTCTTTATACATCGACTATTTGGTTGAGGCAGTGACAGTGATGGTCATTTAATTTTGTATCATGACCCTCTTTTGCTAATACAAAATGGGTGGGGCCAAGATTTTCTAAGCAGAAAATCTTTATATTTTTAGGTTTCCTTTAGTTGTTGTAAAAATTCAAACTGGTTTGAGAATGTGTTTTCTCTCTCTTGCTACATGTTCTCCATTTCAGAATGATTGAAAGGGGTCAGAAAGTGAGGTGTGCAAACTTCATGTCCTTCAAAAGTCTCTGTTGCAATTGTGAGCAAGTTGAACCGGCAGAAAAACTCTGTCCTGCAGCAGCCTCAGGAGGAGCAGCTGCCTGGAGGACATGTGAACGATCTCCTGTTGTTTCCTTATACAGAGAGGTTCTAAGGAACTGGTTTACTCATCATTTCCACTTTAGAAAATAGAATAACAGATTTGGAAGGAACCTTGGAGGTCTTCTAGTCCAACCCCTGCTCCTGCAGGAAACACTCTACCATTTCAGACAAATGGTTATCCAACAGTTTCTTAAAGACTCCCAGTGTTGGAGCATTCACAACTTCTTGAGGCAAATCGTTCTACTGATTAATTGTTTTCACTTTCAGGAAATGCCTCCTTAGATCTAGGCTGCTTCTCTCCCTGATTAGTTTCCACCCATTGCTTCTTGTCCTGCCCTCAGGTGCTATGGAGAATTTCTTTGTTCTTTGTCGTGGTCATTGTCCCTACAAAAGTCACNTGCTTTCGAACTGCTAGGTTGGCAGAAGCTGGGGCAACTAATGGGAGCTCCCTCCGTTAATGCGGCACTAGGGATTCAAACTACTGACGTTTCTGATCAACAAGCTCAGCATCTTAACCACTGAGCCACCGCGTCCCTCTAGATGCTTAATATCTTAATAGACCCTATTAAAAGATGAGAATTTGCTCTTCAGGAAATGTCTTGTCACCATCACCTGCCTACATTGCTTGTTTAGTGAGCTGGGACAGTACAATTTTGCAAAGTTAAGCTGTGGAGAAATATGGTTACTCCACAGAATTCTCCAGATTTCTCCAAACAGAAAGAAAAGAAACAAGTAATTAAAAAATGAAACATAGAAAATGAAAATGAAAGAAACAATGGATCATATTGTAGGCACAGCAAATTATCCTTTTTTTGGTTTGCCCCAGGCCATTTGTGATTTACATCTTGAATTCTTTCTCCTCATTTGCCGGTGCTGGAATTAACTTGTTAGATTAGAAATAGAGGCCCAGCTGGATCTGTACCATATCTATTGTAAATAGAGCTTCTATTTGGGTAAGATAAGGCAAAAGAATAAAAATAAAAAAGCCCTGTTGGTGGCAGCCATTCTTAGTTTGTTCTTCCAAAGCTAAGCAACCGGGTTAGAACTTGGATAGAAATGCAACAATAGTCCAGTTGGAAAATCCCTTTAAAAATCATATGGAAAAAAAACACTGGCAAACTGCTTACATATTGTTGTCAAGAAAAATCCATGAGTGGGGTTCAAGAAGTTATTAGCAATCGAGTTTGACTCCATGGAATTTTTACTTTGCTTTAAAAAAAAAGGGTGGGTAGCATTTTTTCCAGTACTTTCTTATTCCCTTGCCAAATATATGTCAGGTTGATTAGATTTCACCAAGCAAGTCCGGGGTGGGTGGCGGGGGATGTTAGGAAGACAGTCAACATTCATTTTTCTTGCCATTTACATGTATATATCCCATCTAGACTGTGGTGTTTATCTGTATCATATAATATATGATATATATTTATTATTTATTTATTTATTTAGTCATGTTTGTATAATGTATATTGGACATTATATTGGAGGTGGTGACCCTTTGAGAGATGTATGCAACAAAATTTCATTTTAATGTATGCTGATTAGTGTACATACAAAGTGACAGTAAAGTCATTCTATCATCTATCCATCTGTCCGTCTGTCCGTCTATCTATCTATCTATCTATCTATCTATCTATCTATCTATCTATCTATCTATCTATCTATCTATCTATCTATCTAT